ATCGGAATCGTTAGTTAAAAAAATAGAGATATTCTATATCATCATCAGAAAAGCGTTCCAATCCAATCTAGTTCACTACCATAGGAGGTTTTTTCCTCAAAGCTTCCTGAATTATTTCAATACTTAGAAATAATATATTCTAGGAGAACAGTTAATGAAACAAACAAAACTTTCTCAGATTCGGGCTCAGCACAATATTCAAGGTCAACAAAATATGCCGTTTCAAAGTATCAGGATACATCATGAAATATTCGCACATTCCACTTCAGAGAAGAAGGAGTTCCTGTATACAGGACGAGCTTACACTATCTTTATATGGAGAATCAGTAGGGAGAAATACATAAAAATCTGCATAATTATATTTTAGAATACGCTCTCTTCATTTATAATATTTTTGACAATGCAGTGTTGCCGCTTCTACTAGAAAGTAGTAGCAACATTGATATTTCAAATAGAACACCCTGTATTTCGTCGCATTCTTAGATTCTCCCTGAAGAGCTGATTTCATCGATGTATCACACTTGGGGTCTATCGGAAAATATTACAGAGATATAGGGTGTTGAAAATCGAGATTTTTCAACTTTAGGATTTTTTTGTATCGAAACTATTCATCATCGGTGAAAACGGCTCACATGTCCTAATCTCAACTTTTGATTCATTATTTACTGATATTTAATCGGAACAGATACAGGGTGGTTCAAGATTCAGAATTCTGATCACCCTGTATCTCTTCCGATTAATTATCAGTAAATAGTAAATCAAAAGTTGAGATAGGGACATGTGAGCCGTTTTGGCCGATAATGAATAGTCTCGACACCAACAAATCCTAAAGTTGAAAAATCTCGATTTTCAACACCCTTTATCTCTGTAATCATTTCCGATAGACCCCAAGTGTGATGTATCGATGAAATCAGCTCTTCAGGGAGAATCTGAGAATGTAATAAAATACAGAGTATTCTATTTGAAATATCAATGTTGCTACTACTTTCGAGTAGAAGCGGCAACACTGCATTGTCGAAAATATTTTAAATGAAGAGAGGGTATTCTAAGATATAAACATGCAGATTTTCATGGATTTCTCCCGACTGATTCTCGATATAGATATAGTGTAAGCTTGTCATGACATACCCTGTATATGATAGGTTCCTATGAAAACCTTACAGAGACAAATTGTGGAACACAAACAGCACAAAGCCTTCAAATTATAGTTTAGACTCCAAATATCACATGGGATTCTCTAGAACACTGATGAAATTGGGGAAAGATAACAAATCTCATCCAGTGTCATTTCAATATGCCTGTAGTAAGGACATGAAGTTCATATTAGAAAATGAGTCTGACGATCAATTACCATTTTTAGATGTTCTATCTCATTCAGAAATAAATTAATGTTTTTATAACGAATGTATATTGAAAAAAAAATGATATTAACGGATACCCCAATTTTCAATCACATCAACAGAATACTCTCTACTCTCTACTAATCAGAAAAGAAATAATCACGATAGAGTGCAATTCTTATAATCAATACAACTATCAATATAACAGAGCTCTTACGCTAGCAGATGTCTGGGTTGAGATAAGTAAAAAAGATGATTGTATATATCACATTTCTTGGGAGGACAGCAATTTAGAAAAAACGATTGAAAATACCTGAAAACCCAATTTTCAATTTGATCTTGATTTTCTCTCAGAAGTATAGGTTGAGATGGAAGAAAAAGAATGACTGTATACGCATTGACTAACAGTCCTTGGGAGGGAAGCAATTTGGAAAAACGATTGAAAATACTTCTAACTCAAATTTTCGAACCAATCAAGACTCTACCAATACTCGTTCGTCTATAGAACGGCGAAGCTTTGGAATTCTTTGCCAATGAAAGTATCCTCAAGAACTTATAAACCTCCAAAAGTTAAAAAAACACCTACCTGCTCTCCCTACCTCCTTAGGTACGTACGATGTTCCACGAACATTATTGGAATCTATTTAAAGAAACCTTCACCTTGATTTTGTCACAGAAATATAGTTTGGGATGAGATACAAATAATAACTGTATACAGAGTGGGCCTTTGGAAAAGAAACAGAGGCTCTGTAGGTCGCCAAAACCGGATTATCAAAAAAAACTGAAACAGGTCAACTACATTTTCGAGGGGGACATCTTTCTGAAATATTTTCAGCCCTGCGGCGTTGCCGCTTCTAAAGAAAAGAAGCAACAACTTTGTTCTTTCAAATGGAACACCTTGTACTTTATTGCATTTTTAGATTCTCCCCGAAGAGCTGATTTCATCAATGCAAAGTGGTTTCAGGGATATAAAGTGTTCAAAATCGAGATTTTTCAACTTTACCATTTTTTTGTGTCGAAACTATTCATTATTGGTCGAAACGGCTCTCATGTCCCTATCTCAACTTGTGATTTACTATCTACTGACATTTAACTGGAACAGATACAGGGTGATCAGAATTCTGAATCTTGAACCACCCTGTATTCGTTTCAAATAAATGTCAGTAAATAGTAAATCACAAGTTCAGATCGAGACATGAGAGCCGTTTTGACCAATAATGAATAGTTTCGACACAAAAAAATGTTAAAGTTTATACCCTGAAACCATTACAGCTAGACCCTAACTGTGATGCATTGATGAAATCAGCTCTTCGGGGAGAATCTAAAAATGCAATAAAGTACAAGGTGTTCCATTTGAAATAACAAAGTTGTTGCTTCTTTTCTTTAGAAGCGGCAACGCCGCAGGGCTGAAAATATTTTAGAAAGATGTCCCCCTCGAAAATGTAGTTGACCTGTTTCAGTTTTTTTTGATAATCCGGTTTTGGCGACCTACAGAGCCTCTGTTTCGTTTTCAAAGGCCCACTCTGTATACATCGACACACATACCTTGGAAGGGAATCAGCAATTTATTGAAAACGATTGCAAATACCTCAGGAAATCTAAGACGCGTCTGAGCTGCCATCATCCAGAAAAAACTCCTTTTTTCACGAACATTTGCCTAGATTATTCATCACAGGTGAACCCAGAAAACCTCTTTCAGTAAGGACGAAGTGACATAAGTACGATACAAAGAAAATACATATCGACAAATCGAAACTAGCTGAACATATCCTTACTGAAGATGGACAATATATTGCAGAGTGGGATAATATTAAAACCATTGGAAAAGAAAATGAAAAATTTAGTAATCTGCTTGCATTCTTCTGAACGGAGACAATAACATTGCTTCCTGTTCAGTTAATATAGATAGAACATGGTATCCACTACTGAAATCTGAAAATGACAATGGTGAATACAAGAATAATTGATGAAAACATCATGTAACTCATTTGATTGCCAACGTCACCAAATGTCACTGAGAACTGATAAGTGTCAAGACGAATACAAATTTTCTATACAAGTATCAATATTTTATGTTGAAAAAGGGAGCAGATTCGTGAGATTCGTTCCCGAAACGTTAAAAGCTGAGTGAAAATTTGATATTTTTTCTATATACCTTCATTTCTATTCTCCAAACCTTTTTCAATACAAATTGTCACTGACAAGCTAATGAATTTTTGTTTTAGGCTCTCTGATGGGACAATTCTTTTTTCTACAATCGAGCGTGATTCACCCTATCCCGCACACAATTCAGTAATTTTCTCGCAAAATATGAGTGGTGGGTGACACAATATGAAAATTACAGGTTTTTTGTTGTCGTATTTAGTAAGTTTGTAGAAAATCATCCATCAAATTGCACTATTTATTGTGAAAATGAAGAAATATTGAAAAATAATAATTGTTTTTTTTATCGCTTGGAGTGCACGAAAGGGAATCCCTATAATGTTCAACGAACATCGTGCGTTCCTAGGGAGGATAGGGATAGGAGGTAGGTATTGGAATTTTTTTGAATTTCTGGAGATTATATGTTGTTGGGAATACTTCCTCAGGCAATGAATTCCAGAGCCTAGCCGTTCTATGGATGAAGGAGTTTTGATAAAGTGCTGTTCGACATCTATCGAGGTTGACAACGAAAGGATGTGCTGACTGGGCTTGTCTAGTTCGTCTGATGTGGGAAACATTCGTTTTCATGTCATCAAAACACGAATCAGTTAGTGTAATTCTCAGAGTGACAGACAAAGCGTTACTGTCATTTTCAATTTAGTGGAATTACAATGAAAAACCTCCAGCTACAGATGCGACACAGATGAATTATTGCCAAGGAAGTCTTAACAAAGGTATAAGAAGCACTACACAGGATTTATTGAATGGTGCAATAGTAAAAAAGAGAGAACACCAAATAAAGAAGGAGTATTTTTGGCTCATTTCTTGAAAATGTCTGAAACCTAGAGGCCAAACACCATGGATATGCTGGCTTCCGCATTGAGCTTACCTACATAATGCTTCAAACGGTACACACAATAGATATGTCACTAAATATTAGAAGATAGAGAATATATTACTATTGTTAGTTGTTTCTATTTGCAGATATAATTGTTTGAACAAATCAATCAATTTCCTACGTTCGTAGAAAAAATATTGTTTCTAACTCACGTGGAAAGTGTCTTTCCCGCACTCGACTGCTTGCCCGAACTCTCACGTGCGGGAAAGTATTACTTACCGCACTTGTTAGGAAAATTACTATGAACGCAGTGACATTTTAGGGCAAATCATCGGATTTGTCCTTACTACAGGTATATTGAAATAATTTTCATTTTTTTCATTTCATAGAAATGAGGAGGAATAATCCCAACAAATCTGGAATAATGTATAATTGACTGAATTGAAATTTGATTTTTTTCCAGAATACCCTGTATATTTTTCCAATTTTCTCCTCCATAGTCGACTTATTTCGCTAATTAGAACACAATATTGCACACGTCAATATATTACCTAATTAAGAGCGGATGTTCGCCTTCTCAGGGGAAAACAAGGAAGGGGCTTCTGATGCCCCTTTCGAACGAAAGTCTCGCTCCTCTATAAAAGCTGCTCGCCGCTGGGTCGGTGCATCCAGTGCTCGCTTCTGGGTTGACGTTTACGCCCGAGAGAGATGAAACTCCTGGTAAGTTCGTGGAGAAATGGAGATGTATGGGGAAGTGAGAAGTGTGTTTCGAAGTGGCGAGCAGTGTATTTTCGGGAAAAAAAGTGGTGTTGACTTGGTGTTTTTGACCGCGCGAAATTGAATAATTCAAAAAATTAGAGGCACTTGACATCATAATAAATTTTTTCCAAAGCATCAGAATAATTAATTGGATAGTCTATTATGTATGGAAATTTCTAATACAGTGTGTCCCAATTTGATCGATCTTAAAGTATGATCTACATTCCTAGTAGGCTTATTTTCATCAAGAAAATGATATCGTCAGTTCATAGATGAAATCCCAGTCATCTCCACAATTTTTTTTAAAGTGATCAAAGATCAATCGTAACGGTACATGTTTTGGGATTATATAAGCCCATCATCAGCCAATAGAAAGAATCAGAGTTATGGAAATGAAAAAGTAGACTAAATCACCCGTTTGTTGTTGGTTTTTCAATTGCTACCATAGAAGATCCCAAATCGCAACATTTTCACAGATCAGATACTATTCTGACAACGCAAGATTGAGAAAAATTGACATTTCCAGATGAAGAATCATGGCACATGAATTTTGCTTTTTAGCTGAATTAAGTGCTAGGGTTGATTCTGTCTGTTCATATTGTATCTCTATTGAGATATTTTTTCTTCATCTTTGTATATATTCATATTATCCTTCATTCTAAGCAAAAACTCAAAAACAGAAGGCTTCTGAGAGGACAAACACTGTGAAATGGATGATGTAGGAAGGAACGTTCAATTTTTTTCCATAGAATAGGAAACGACACGTGGGATTCACAAAGGTGCGCCAACTTTTTAGCCGATTAAGGGAAGGAACATTCGTTTTGGACTCATCCCCTTCTAAGGGATAGTATTCAACACCTCTTTTTGAATTATAAAGCCCCTTATTAAAGTATACTTAGTAGTAAACTTGTCATGGTTTCAAATGTTAGGTTCCGTTTTGTCGCTGGAAAACTTAGGGCGAATCACAGAGGCTCATAGCATTTCATTTATTATTCGTGAATTGAATTGTCGATGGAAAATAACGAGATCATAGGGGTAGGTGGGTCTTTTCGATGGATAACCCAGTATTCATGATGACAATAGTGTTGAGAGAGAGAGAAAAAAGTCTTCTCTAGAGTGACTCTATAAATAGATTGACGACAATAGTTGCACACTCTTTGATTGGTCATGCACCTGTCTTGTATTCTACATTTAATTCTACACATTCTATTTCACTTTGTCAATGCTTTGTCTTTGATTTTTGCTCTTTGGGCACAAAACATCCAACGATCATACATGAAACTCTATACGTCAGTACCTTGGAGATTAACTATTAGAATCCGTCTTTTGGAACTCGTAAGTCTCAGATTTTCAGATGATGAGATAAAAATATCAAATAACTGAACCTAACATCAGGTGGGCACTTCGAAGGCGCAAATTCATTAAAGGATGGGAGATAACCTTCAGATTTTCAGCAATTCAGTGACTTGACATTACGGAAATGGCATCCATTTGGATGTCTGTTGTCATCACTCTATTTATGAAGTCACCCTAGTCTTCCCCATCTGTCCTTGTCTTCAGGGTTCCAACGTAAAATAATGGAAATTTGATGTTGGTAACATTGGAAATGGAAAAAAATGGAGAAGAAGATCATTTTAACCTTAATATAAAAAAAGGTTAGTATGACCTTCTTCTCCATTTCTTCTCATTTCCAGTGTTGCCTAAATAAAATGCTCATTAACTAACGTTGAAACACTGAAGACAAGGACAGATCTGATCTCTTAGACCTGCGTCGCTAAGAAAACCTATGAAGTAATCAAATATCTTTCAGTTTGATTGTGTGATTCGATTTAAAAATTGCAAACGGTTGTTGTATAGTTATTTTGATTAATATAAAGTAGAAAAATGTCAGATTTCAAGATTTTCTGACTCTACCAGAGTAAGAAGATGTGACAAAAAAACGTCAGAACATGGAAAATTTACGAAAACGCGTATTCAATATTTATGGAATGGAGGCTGGAAATGAGATGCAGTTCTTTCTCAAAAGTTATCAACAGTGTATACAGCGTGTCTTACTTTTAACGGTCACCCCTTTATATCTCTGCTGTTAATCGTACGATTCTTGTCAAATTTGGACTGGTATGAATAACTATCGATATGATCAGTTTTTTAGAGACGAACATCATTTTGAACAGTATCGTGCGTTTCTATTGAAATAAAAAGAATCGATTTTTCAGAAAATCATTTTTTATGGAAAAACTCAAATCATAATATTGTTTTTCATGGTTTTAAATCCACCTTATATGTGAATTTTTATATAATTTCAATGGAGGGTTTCGAAAAAACAAGCACATCTAAACAGTATTTTTGCGAAGGTAAATAATTATTCACTCGGAAACGGTGAGTTCAACAAAAAAGTATATTCTGTTTTTTCTCTCAAAACATGATATTCTTTCCAAATACTCGTTCATATAAAAAACGACGAGGCTCTGGAACACATTGCCAAGGGAGGTGTACTCCGAGGCATATATTAAGAAGAACACCAATTCCCACCTTATTTCCCTTGGTTCTCACGATGTTCTCTGAACATTACAGGATATCCCTTTTCGTGGGAACCAGAACATAAAAAAAAATCTACCTACTGGAGCCATAAAACGTTCTGACATTTGCAATTGATTTGAATTCATTTTTTGTTTCGATGCAAATTATATAGATATAAAGCCAGTCGAAAGCAAGAGGAATAATATTATGCAAAAGAAGGCCTAGTATGATTTCATAAAAAATCGACACTTTTTATTTCAATAAAAGCGCAAAGCACTGTAGATAATCATGTTTGTATCTGAAGGTCTGATTATATTGATGGTTACTCATATCAATTGTTAAGAATCGTACAATCATTAACTGAGACTGACTGGGATATAGAGGAGGGGTTGATGAAGTAAAGTACTCTATATCTATACCCGGGAGAAAAGTATTAGCTTTTTTCTCGGAGAAAAATTAATTTTTTCTGCAACCGACACAAAAGTCGTCCATTTTGATACCAAAATTAGCTCTTAAATCGACGTTTCTATTACTGACACAAAAATAGGTATGTTGCCAGGCAACATATTTGGTTCCTAGGAGCTAAAGTTGAATTTTAGTTCCTAGGAGCTAAAGTTGAACTTGAGCTCCTAGGAACTAAAAAGGATCTACTGGACGTCATCAAGAATTAACAACATTATGACGGTTGGTTATTTGGGTTGAGACGCATACCTGATTTTTTTCCGATTCCAGCAGATTTGGCATTTCGTACCCATGCTGGAGATATAAATACACCTTATTATAGTTCAGTATTGTAATCATAAACATCTCAGTTAAGTATTTTTGTGTTGATCAGGGAAGCCTTCAAGATTCAAATACTTGCTTGATCTGTATTTCATTCGTTATTCTCGGGATGGATAACTTGTTTTTGAATAATCACGGCAAGCAATAGTTTTTTTGTCTCAAACAACGATATTGTTTAGCTTCATTTGATTATCAAGTCAAACACAGTGTAACATGGAGAGGAATGAATAATCACTATTATCATTGTTGATATGCTCACTAACCTAACATTTTCCACGTCTTGTTCCTATAGCTGGCTCTGGCGCGGTATTTGCCATTAGAGCACCTGGTCCATACACAAATATGTCACTCTGTGGTTGTATTTATATTGAAACTACAATTCGAACATCCTAGAAAACCTAACCTGCTGTTAATGCAGGTAAAATATTCTCACCACATGGATTATTTGTCAATATTTGTTGCATTGCATACATATGGCACGGCATTGGTGGTTACTTCACATGTTCATTTGAGTTAATTGTTTCGGTTGCAGAAAAAATAGCATGTCTCATTCGGATCGAAAGTGACTTTGTTCGACTCGCAAATTTTGCTTTCGCTCGGCTTCGCTAAACGCTCCGCCTCGCAAATGCAAAATACGCTTGTCAAACAAAGTGTCACTTTTGATCCTAATAAAACAATCTACTATTATGAACTTAAATTTTGTTACATGTCAACAGAGATGAGATGAAAAACTTTTATACCGTCACAGAAAATAGTGATTTCTGTGACTTTACGTGACTAGTCCGGAAAATGGAAAACCTACCTAGTGTTAGTTTATTAAGAAGAAGCATAGCTAAATTTTCTATTCAACCTCATAATCGAAAATGTTTATGTCCGGATGTAATAGGTAATTATCGTTTAGCAACACTAAATGCAATCGATCGTTTCATTATAGATTATAGCTCTTTCACTCAGGTATCAATCATTTCCGCATTGAGTGACATATGGTGCCCGTATATAATTTTTCTTCCTCACATGCAAGGACGTGAAAGTGAAATTAGAACATCTTGCTAATGTTAATGACTATAAATAATTGGTCACGGTCTCGGAGTTTACAGTGCAGCAGATCAGAAACTTGAACAAACAAGCCTACAGGGTGATATTAGGATTTGCTATTGCATAATTCAAATATGTGAAATGTTTTCATTAAAGGAAATAACAGTTATCCTTTTATTCGTGAAGCAGAACCTTTACTACTGATGAATCTTGTTTGAAAACTGACAGCTGAAATGACTATCTTTTCGTGCAATTCCATCAACCCCGTATACAAGGGGATTCTAAAATTGCTGGTCAAACTCTGGGAGTATATAGAGTGAGTGAAATAATTACGAAAAGCTCGGTAACATTATTTTCTGAAGTGCCCCTCAAGAAAGATACAGCCCTTCAAAGGGGGGCCTCGAAGAATGATTTTGTATTATTATCTCCAACACCTTGTATAATGAAAATCTAAAATCTTGTTCATCTACTAACTATTCAGTGCCAGTTCGAATGGAGTTGAAATCACCTCAAAATTAAATACAGGGTTGTGTCAAAATAGGGAGGTAGGGGGTAAAAATAACCCCAACTTTTTTGTTCATCTCAATTTAAGTTTTTTTACATGAAATTATGAAATCTCAGGGCTATTAACATAGAATAGGAGCTCTTGTTGAATCTCGATCAACTGAACCATTAGCGAATAAAATTAATTTTTCCAAGATTTTATTTGAATTGCAATTTTGGTTATCTATTTCAAATCTTGCAATTGAATTTTTACCTACTTCTAATAGTCTGATCGACTTGAAATCTGGCAGATGACAGTTGACATCGCGTTATGGACTTTTTGATAGAAAAAAATATGGCGGCTCCAATGTGGCTGACCAGATTTGTGATTATGGTCCGATTCGATTCAGAATTGGTTTTTAAGGGTATTTGGGGTTGGCATCTGATCCTATTGAAAATACTAAAATAAAAAATATTGTTAAAAACAAAGTTTTTCAAATTTTATTCGTTAATAGTTCATTTTATCGAGATGCAACAAGAGCACCCTTTCTATGTAAATGGCCCTGAGAATTCATAATTTCAAAAAAACTGAAATTGCGATGAACAAAGAAGTTAGGGTTATTTACTCCATTCGAACCGGCACTGAATAGTAAGTGGATGGACAAAATATCAGATTTTCATTATACAAGGTGTTGGAGATAATAATACAAAATCATTCTCCGAGGCCCCCCTTTGAAGGGCTGTATCTTTCATGGGGGTCACTTCAGAAAAAAATGTTACGGAGGTTTTCGTAACTATTTCACTCACACTATATGCTCTCAAAGTCACCTTGTATATCTACCAATGTTCCATACTTTGTATATTTTCCTCATTTTGGAATTCCCCACTTTTATATTTTCATTCTACCACCCACAACATTATTTTTCCAAATGTAACCCTATGGCTTCTGACCCCTCATTGGAAAGCTGGTGGAAAGAGGAATCCAGCGTAATAGTCAAATTTCAGTTTCTCATACGTTTGAAGGTTGCATAAAATTGAAATTTAATTTAATGTTTTTTTCAACGTATCAATCGCTCAAAATTTGTGTTGAACAATTAATCAATGACAAATTTTTGCCACAACTGCTATCTGCTATTTTATTTCAGTGTCTTCATAGAGCAGCAGAAAGAAATTTAGTTTTTTTGTCGTATTCGCAGTGTGAAAATGTTATATATCACTGTCATTAGGAGTCGAAATTTTGATGAAAATACGTTGAAAATATATTGAACTTCACAATCAAATTTCGATTTTGTGTGACCCTCAGACGTATTGCAAACTGTAATATGAACGATGGATTCCTCTTTCAACCAGCTTGCCAATGAGAGGACGCACGCCATAGGGTTGCAATTGAGTAAAAATGTTGGGGTTGATTCCAACTACCCCTGCTCACCAAATCTAGGTAATAACATTTGAACATTGACGTATCCCGCAAAATTTCAGAAAAATTATTCACTCTTCTAGTAGCGAATTTATTCCAGGGGAAGTCTCCACTCTGTACATATAATGCACTTTGTTCGTGTGTGTTCACATCAACTGGCCATCGACCTCAAGAGAGGACCTTCAGCTCATCTGTGTTTGGTGTAGGCTTTGTTAGAGCCTACATACCCCACCTCAGAAACAGCTTGTGGCTCCGACGGAGTCCCACCGATTGTTCTCAATAAATGTGCTCCCGAACTAACACCTGTTCTCTGCAAGTTGTTCAACTACTCTCACAAATTGGGGATATTCCCGTCCAACTGAAAAATTGCAAGAGTACAACCAGATGCAAAAAGTCCCTACCTAGCAACTATAGATCGTTCGCACTGCTATCTACATATTATTTCAAAGATCATGGAGAAAGCTATCAACATCGAGCTCATGAAATAACTGGAACATTCAGGTATTATCAACGATAGGCAATATGACTTCCGTCATCAGAGATCAACTGGTGACCTGCTCGCTTAAGTCTCACATATATGGCAGGAATCTATTGAAAAAATATGGTGAAACCTTAGCCGTGGCACTTGATATCTCCAAGGCATTCGTTCGAGTCTGGCACCACGAACTCCTCGCTAAGCTTCCATCTTATGGCTTGTCTCCCCAGCTATGTTCTCTGCTAGCTAGTTTCCTCTCAAACAGGTCTCTTCATGTAGTGGTCGACAGATTTTTATCTGACTCTCTTATCCCAAATGCTGGTGTTCCGCAAGGATCAATTCTAGCACCAATACTATTTCTACTTCATATCAACGATTTATTGAAAGCAACTTCATATCCAGTACACAGCTTCACGAATGATAATATTCTCCATACCGCCTTCTCTTCCAGGGCTCCAATATCAGCCAGGCAAATCAGAAACGAACGAGGGAGAAATGTTAACAACATGAATATGGCAACAATTCTCGAATAGGGATCCCATAACTTGGTGTATTTCAATGCAAACAAAACACAAGCATGCCTTTGCTCTAAAAAAGCCGATCTCACTGTGCCAACATAAGCTTGTCAGGAGTAACCATACCTTTGAAGACATCCATTCCGATGCTTGGTATTACTATCAGCAATAACCTTTTTTGGGAAAATCACGTGAGATCATTTGCTAAAAATGCATCCCAAAAACTTGGTTTTCTCTCTCGAGCCAGGAGCTATTTCACTTCCAGTCAGCTGCTTATGATTTATAAGGCACAGATTTGACCTGTCCTGGAATACTTTTCCCATATTTGGAGTGCAGCACCCAAACATACCCTGAAACTGTTGGATTCTGTCCAAAAAAGGGCAATTCGTCTCGTGGGTGATCCTCGCTCACAAACCCAATCACTTTTCTGTAACATCGTAGAAAAGTTGGCGATCTGGCCCTATTTTATAGATATTCTCATGGACGATGCTCTTCTGAAATATCAACAATTGCTCTTCCCTTGACAGTCCTCGCGAGATTAACCCGTCGAGTTGAGGCTTCGCACCACTTCGTGGTCACTGTGGAGACCAGCAGAACATCTCATTCCAAAGACTCGTTCATCCAACGAACAGCGAGGCTCTGGAACACATTACCAAGAGAGATGTTCCCCGATGCACATAACCTCCAGAAATTTGAGAAGGACACCAATTCCTACCTCATTTCCCTTGGTTCTCACGATGTTCTCTAAACATTACAGGATATCCCATTTCGTGGGAACCAGAAGATAAAGAAAAAGCCCTATTTTCATGCTCTGACGTCTTTTACAGGGTTATTCAGCGCTCTGCGCACTCCTCCTGTTGGCGGGCGCTGAAGAACAAAAGAAGAACGCCGCCAAATCAGTGGCAGAACCGAAGTCCGCAGGCGCGAGACCCCAACGAGGCCTCGACCTTGGATACGGAGGTGGAGGTCATGACTTCGGAGGCGGAGGTCATGATTTTGGCGGCGGCGGCGGACATGACCTTGGAGGTGGTGGAGGACACGATTTCGGAGGCGGTGATTACGGGGGCGGTGATTATGGCGGCGGTGACCATGGAGGTGGTGACTATGGGGGTGGTGACTATGGTGGCAGCGCGGGAGGTGGTGGATACGATCACAGTGGTGGAGGTAAGTCAATACGAACGCCTAAAAGGGTCGAATAGTAGAAAAAAATTGGTAGTCGTAAATTTTTGTACAATGGTGAAAAAAAGTGTCATGAACAACTTACTTGAAGTCCTGACCCGTAGGGAAGAAGCGGGGCGGTAGGGGAGCGTTTCAAGGTCATTTTATTCTTGAATAATTCTTAAATCGCTTCTAGCGGAAAAGTTCAGTGATGAAAGATTTTACAATATGGAATTAACTATAAAAAAGGTTCTTTTCAGTTCTTGTCTACAATGAATAGTTTCTGAGATACATCAGGGGATGAAAAAATCGAGAAGTATTGAATATGAAGTTCAATATGGTATTAAATTGGTGTTCAACATGAATAGTAACAGAACAATAGCTATTTGTATAACAAGAGAAGAAAGTCCTACTTTTGCTCCCGAGGATATAGTTTACTGCGTAGCGGAGGGCAGTGATCATTCAAGGGACAAAAAGGTACTTTACTTTACATTTTTGAATAATTCATTCATGAAACTAACAAACGGAATTTATTAAACAAATAAATCTAGCAAATAAAAGTCATATAAACATGTGTCCGAACTAGCTCTATTTTTGAGATACAGGATGTTAAGTTGGAATTATTGATTGTTTTCATCTACAACCCCCCTGTATAGGCTTTCATGGTGCCAAAATTCAGTATGGATCGAGACTGAGAAAGCCCCAATATTTTAAAATGATTCTAATGGAAGTCTTGAAAATACCTATATTAAAATTTTTTAGTCAAATCGAATTTCCATTGTTTCCCCAAAAACTAAGCTAGATACAAAAATCACACAAAGAATAAAAAAGTAGTTATTCCAATAGTTCAATTCGATAAAAATATGTGTGGCATACAATGACATTCACCATGAATATTGAAAAAAATGTACCCACTGTGACGTCACTGGAAATATTATTTTGAATCTAATTGCACCAGAAGAAGCATCATATTACTATTAACAAAACCACAACGTTTCACAATCAATTTCAGTAACTGCAGTGACTCCCATAATTTTGTTCGAAATTTTTAACTCTTTTGCAATATATTGATGAAGAAAAAGTACGACTTTGCTCCCTACAATGTGGCAAGAAAATGTATACTTTGGATAGAGGTGGGCGGAAAAATATATAACACACTCAAAACAAACATGTTCATCTGAATTCCGAGAAAGAATTCGAGAACAATTCACAAATGTCATCCATTTCTAGTTTTGTTTACAAATACAGGTGTTCAAAAGTCATCCCTGGTTAGCATGATGATCCAGAAAATGAAGGAAACATTCTGAGAATGTTATTTGTCTACCTCAATTTTTTTTTCTAGATGAAGATAGAGCATCCTCATATCTAATGTTCGAAAAATCCTTGAAAAAGATGAATCTCATCTAATGAGAGACCTTGAATCTGGAAATACTTGATAAAATGGAACTCCATTTACTATAATATGATATTTCAGGTGGCGGCTATGGATATGGAGGCCACGAAGAGAAGACAGTAACCGTTGTGAAAAATGTGCCAGTACCTTACCCAGTCACCAAAGAGGTGCCATACCCTGTAGAAAAGAAGGTTCCGTATCCCGTGAAAGTCCATGTCCCTCACCCATATCCAGTCGAGAAGAAGGTAAGAATGTCCACCATGATCATTAGATAAATGATTTAACTGCTTGCCTTCATTCCAGGTACCATATCCAGTAAAGGTCTCAGTCAAAGTTCCAGTAGCAGTCCACAAACCCTACCCAGTAGAAAAAACCGTACCATACCCAGTCAACGTGAACGTAGACAAACCCTACCCAGTAAAAGTGCTCGTACCACAACCTTACCCAGTCGAAAAAACCGTACACGTCCCATACAAAGTCCATGTACCACAACCGTACCCCGTAGAAAAAGAAATCCCTTACCCGGTCAAGATACCAGTGCACATCCCGAAACCTTACCCCGTGGAGAAAATCGTACCTTATCCAGTCAAGGTCCATGTCGACAGGCCCTACCCAGTACACGTACCCAAACCCTACCCAGTACACGTGGAAAAGAAGATTCCCTATCCAGTTTTCAAACCAGTGCCTTATCCAGTGAAGGTAGGAGTTGACAGACCAGTGCCCTACCCTGTGGAGAAACCTCTGCCTTATCCAGTGAAGGTTCCAGTACCAGCTCCCTATCCAGTGGAGAAGAATATTCCTTATCCAGTGGAGAAGCCTGTGCCTTACGCTGTTAAGATCCCGGTGTTCAATCCAGTGCCTTATACTGTTGTGAAGAAGGTTCCGCATATTGTGGAGAAGCCTGTGCCTGTTCCAGTTAAGGTACCAGTAGCTGTTCCAGTGAAGGAGGAACACCACGACGAAGGTGGTTACGGCGGTGGTTACGGTGGTTATGGTGGTTCGGCGGGAGGGCATGACTTTGGAGGTGATAATGGGGGTGGCCATGATTTTGGAGGCAGCCAGGATATAGGGGGTGGTCATGGGTATCATTAGAGATGTAATTCGTATTTTGTTTTTTTGTCAGTATTACGTTGTGTGTGATTTTTATTGTTATTAAAGTATATTTTGTATTTACTATATACGATGTCTTGGAGTGGTTGTTATTCCTTTTTGTATTTGAAGGGTGAGACAGTTTTCTGTAGCAGGGCTGACTCAGCTTGTAGAATACATTATTTTGATTTTGTTTTCGAATGTATGATAAATTGACATTCATGATATTCGATTCAAGAGATGATGTCAATTCTCAATTTCAGAGGATTTTGATTTTTCATGCTCTCGTTTTGTATATTCAACAGATATAATCCAATGTTCGACGTGGCAAATAGCCAGGAAAGTAGTTGTTTTCTGTTGAATATTCAGAATGATATTATATGCATATCTTTATATGAAGGAGAATGCAAATTCTCTACTTCAGAAGATTTCGTTTTTAAAATCTTATCGTGTGTGTTCAATAGATGTAATTCAATATTCGTCGTGGCATATAGCCAGGAAAGTAGTTGTTTTCTGTTGAATGAACCGAGAAAGAATTAATATTGAATGTTCTTTTTCAATACATTATTTTGAAATGAAACATGAATATATGCTTGGAAGCTTCGTTTCCGATATACAAGGTGTCAAGTTTCAAATTATTTTAATGGTTTTCAATTTTTCTCTCAAGATTTTGAGAATAATTAATTTGGTACACCCATTATACTCTAGAAACTCAATATTCAGCGATATTAAGCGTTTTCAATTACCCACAGCACAGGGTGGTACACGTTTGAGGGTTGTACCCAATTTAAACCCTCTCGATTTTTTTCGCGAGATACCTCTACTCTCAATGAGACATCAATTCAGATAATCTCGTTCATTTAGATACTTTTCCTCTTCTACATTTTTCTCGAATCACAAGATCTTGGTGGCCGATTGTGATCACCTCTTCGAGAGGTAACACGGTCCAGAAACTTTTTCTATTAAAGATCAATGGTTTCATTGCTTGTGTGGCAGGTAGCGCCGTCTTGTTGAAAGTAAACGTTGTCCAGATCACACTGTTGCTTCAGCCTCATTTCCGAAAAGAGTAAGGTTCAATGACTCCGCCGGACCATAAACCGCACCAAACTCTCACACAGTGAGGATAGAGAGGCTTTTCAACAATAGCTCTTGGGTTTTCTGAGCCCCAGATGCGACAAATTTGGTTGTTAACGAAGCCACCGAGGTGGAAATGGGCATCACACAAGATGATGTTTTGATGGAATTCCGGATCATCATCATGCGTTTCAAGGATCCAATCAGCAAAGACCCAAATCTTTATGCAAAATACGGTGTATTGACGTTTGTGGAATGCCTAATTCCAAACAAGGACGAGGAATGGACAATACTGGGTTTTCAATGCGTTGTTGGAGCGTGTATCGTTCCATTTTTATTAATGACGTAGTTTCTACCTGTCAAATGTCAATAAAAAACAGCTGGAAAAGTGAAATCTACCGAAACAGCGGGCTATTCAAAATAACACCTCTTATTGGAAAATCCTTCAATTGCGGTGGTCCTTCAACGACTTCGTAGGAGTGTGTCTATGTTCAAATTTTTTCAGAAATAAAATCAGCCCGCTCATTGAGAGTAGGAATACAGTGTGACAGAGACAAAGTTGCAATAAATCTCAAAATTTTCGAAGTCTGTTGACATACTGAATGAGTTATTCTTCTTTCATTTAGCCGGATTCGTATCTCTTACCATTCCTGAGATCTCCATTCTATGCAACCTCATTTTGGCCACACTGTTTAGTATTGTGAGCTCAAAGACTTCTTGTCAATTAAACATTCAGACACTTAAATTGTACTTACCGGAGGTATGGTATGTTGGCTGGGATGTGGTACTTAGCACCAGGGTCAAAGTCAATTTCGGATCTCAGCACAGGTGGCTTAATTCCTTGGTACTTCTCACTGAAAAGGAGATTAAATTGGATTGAACCGTATCAATGAACAAGAGAAAAATGTTCACTTTCCCGAACTCATTTTAGTGTTGAAAGATTCACTTTTTCGCACTAGAGCGGAAAAACCTTTCAATACCAAAATAAGTACGGAAAAAAAGAATACGAATTTCTTTTGCACGCTAGTAGAAAGAATTTAATAATGTATCTAACACATGCGTACAGTGTGCTAACGCTTCGTTGGCCCTCTGCAATTGCGTCGGAAAATTATTACTTCTCGCAATTCTTAGGTAAACTACTATTTTCTACAAGCGTGCTCAAAAATCCTCTTTTTCGCACTCATTTTAGTGTTGAAAGAGTTTCTTTTCCACACTAGTACGCAAAAACTTTCAACACTAAAATGAGTGCGGAAAAGAAGATTTTGGAATTTTTCCGCACCCTAGTAGTAAAAATTCTGCACATAACACGTGCGTAAAGTGCGCTAACGTGTCGTTTGTTCATCTGCGATTGCGTGCGGAGAAGTATTTCTTTTCGCAATCATAAGGTAAACTACTATTTTCTACTATAGTGTGCTGAAAAGTCCACTTTTCCACAGTCATTTTAATGTTGAAAAAGTCACTTTTCCGTACTGGTGCAAAAGTTTTTGGGGAGTATATACATTGTGCTTCAAAAAACCTAACCCCCTTGCTAGGGTAGGTAGAACATTGCAAAATAAGTTGGGCGTGCTTTGTGAAAAAATGTCGTAACGGCATCCGCTTTCATGATACAAGGTGTTGAAAAAATTATTTTTCGATGTTCAAGTTCAAGTTCACATCAAATTTGGACTGAAAAATCTAACCTCAGAAAAGTTATGTTCAAAACTACTCCGTACGAGCCGTGTAACTAGCGCCCTCTATGAGAGTCAGATATAAAAACAAATGTATGTGATGTGTCAGATCCCAAGAAACATCCATACAAAATTTCATCACTATGTTGCCAGTAGTTTCGACATAATCTTGAAAAATGTGTGAAAAAATCATTTTTTCATCTTGATAACGAATGCAGTTTTTTTACTGAGTAAACCCAACTTATTTTGCAGTGTTCTACCTACCCTAGCAAGGGGGTTAGGTTTTTTCGAAACACCCTGTATAATGGCATTTGAATATTCATGAGTAATGATGAATGTTATGTTATGTAAACTTTTGGATTTTTCTGCACATTAGAGCGTCGGAAAAGTATCGCTTTACGCACTTGATAGGTAAAATACAATTTTGAACTCCATAATTTATTTTACCAATAGAAGGTAGTTTTTGAAAACTAAAGAATTATTCTCACCTCAACAACCACCAATGGCAGTTATACTGCTCCTTCGGTATATCTCCTTTGAACACGTCATACCTCCATTTGTCCATGACGTAGGCAAAAGGCAGGAAAACGACTTTATCCAAAGCCATGGCATACAAGAAGTTGATATCTACGGCAGTGTGGTCAATGGAAGCCTGTACTAGACCAAGAGCTTGAAGGTGCTTTGGAGTACCAACTGAAAGACCGATGGCTTCTCCAATGGCTTCGTGAAAAGCTGAAAGTCAAGATAATTCTATATAGCTGAAGAATATGACTAGGAATAAATATTTGAAGTTATTCGTCGTTCGGAATTAATCATTGAATATGAGGTACTTGAAAATGTTGTCTATTCACTGACCCAAATTATTCAACTATACAGGGTGTCTGTTTTTCGAGCTCCACCATGGCGATCTCAGTTATTATGAGAGATACTAGGTCGGTCAAATTAGGACAAAGTTGTGCGTTTCCATGCTGAACATTTATCTGCAAGAAAATTTATAATTTTCGTTTTCATTTTTCCAAGCGGAAACCACATGACCAAAACGTTTCTGACTGAAACATTCTTGAGGCACTTCTTTACAAGGAATCTGAATCTGTCATTGTATTTTCCATGACGATCTTGATGCCAAAGTTACAACACACAACTTTGTTTTTTCTTATGAGCGTTATGTTGGATTTTTGCATTTTTGAAAAGTCTTTTTATCGTTCTGATTACAATGATGTATCACACGATATGATGGATTCTTTCCTATTGATCAACATTGGGAAATTTTTCGCGAAGACTGTTTTGGAAAGAACGCCAACAGTTTTGTTTAACAAGCTGAATTTCGACAGTTTATTTGAATTTGGATCTGGAACGTTCACATTTTCGTCAAGCTCATCTACTTAAATACTATGATTCTGAATTAGGGACGACGTAATGAGCTAGAAGTTTATTCTTCGCAAAACAAAACAAAAAACAGCTATAAAAGATGCAAGAATACTCCACAATTTTACGCGATTCCTCAGATTCTGAATTGCTCGCGAGATGTCCCGTCTTTTTATCTCAGTCCTGAAAGTGGTGATTATGTTTCTTCTCAGCTCATCAATATCGATCGGTACAGTTTTTAAAATCAAATCTTTCATAGTTCCCACTAAATAACAATCCAGCGGAGAGAGATCAGGTGACCGCGCTGGCCAACGTATGTCTCCGTTGTTGGAAATTGAAATTACATTGTCAGGAAACATATATGACAGACACTCGGCAACCCTTCTCACGTTATGTGAATAAGCTCAAGAATTCAACAGTTCTGTTCGAATATTCAATTAAACTGTCAAAATTAAATAGGATAGAATAAAACGTTTCAGACAAAAAATGTAGGGAAATGGTCAGTAAATATGAAAATAATATCATCGATATACTTCCATCCGACAAAATTCTATAAAAATCCCATTTTCTTACTTGGTGTTTGTTGTTACGCCCTCTAGGGGACTCTTGACATACTCGAAAATAACTTCCAGCAATTTCTCTTGACGACTTTTATCATGATTTTTTTCTCAAATCTATACTACTGATAAAAAACGCCATAGTAATGAATATGTAGTCAAACATTAGAAGTGATTGATATCAGGGTTTTTTTTGTGTACTTGCCACTGTTGAGCAGTGTATATCATCCGAGTCGTACGAGATTCTTTCAGCACTCTTCGCAAAAATGGGTTTGTCCCAATTTTGATCAACAGGAAAGATTCGATCATGTCGTGTCATACATCATTATAATCAGAAGAAAAAGACTTTTTGAAAATGCAAAAATCCAATATGGCACCCATGAGAAAAAACAAAGTTGTGTGTTGTAACTTTGGCATCAAGGATGTCATGGGAAATACAATGACAGATTCCTTGTGAAAAAGTGCATTAAGAATGTCCTAGTCAGAAACTTCTAGGTCTTTCCGTTTTCGCTTGAAAAATTAAAAACGAAAATCAAAAATTTTCGTTCTCTTCCAATAATTCAAAAACTGAAAATGACATCAAATTCCATTGAAGATTAATGTTCAGCATGAAAATGGACAACTTTATTGTTCTAATTTAACCGATCTCGTATCTCTTATAATAACTGAGACCCCATGGTGGAGCTCGAAAAACGATCACCCTATATGTGTATCATCAATATAGGTACCTATTTGGTTTTGTTCAAATCACACACTACTAAGCACTATTGTAAATCAGCATCTCATCCATCACTACCCAATGTTTTTCCATGCATATGATCTCTTATAGTCGATCTCGAATTTGTATCACCCTATATCTTTGCCTGAGATAATTTTGATTGGGTACTAATTTATACAGTTTGAACATGTTTAACGCATACCTATCAATTATCAAAATAGCAACCAGTAATTTTCGACTCAATAATCACAACATTTGTGCTTATGGATTTTTGTGAGAAGTTATTCATGCAATATCTTAGATAATATCACACACATTATCTCTAAATGTAATTCAGTGAAAGTTAATGAATACAGAAGCTTTACTTTCGCGAAATGTTTCTTCTATTTTTGTTAGCAATTCTGTATCAACCGATACACTATTGTATTTTTTTATGTTGTGGTTCCCACGAAAAGGGATATCCTGTAATGTTCAGAGAACCTGGTGAGAACCAAGGGCAATAAGGTAGGAATTGATATTCTTTTTGAATTTCTGGAGGTTACATGCCTCGGGGAACACCTCCCTTGGCAATGTGTTCCAGAGCCTCACTATTCGTGGGATGAACGAGTCTTTGGAAAGAGATGTTCTGCAGGTCTCCAAAGTGACCACGAAGGGGTGCGAAGCCTCGACTCGACGGGTTAATCTCGCGGGGACTGCCAAGGGAGGAACAAGCGTTGAAATTTCAGAAAAGCATCGTTCATGAAAATATATATAAAATGAAGCCAGATCGCCAACTTTTCTACGTTTTCACCCACGAGACGGAGTGCCCTTTTTTGGACAGATTCCAACAGTTTCAGGGTATGTTTGGGTGCTGCACTCCATATATGAGAACAGTATTCCAGGACAGGTCGGATCTGTGCCCTACAGATCATAAGCAGTTGACTGGAAGTGAGACAGCTCCTGGACCGAAACAGAAAACCAAGTTTTTGGGATGCACTTTTAGCAGTTGATCTCACGTGATTTTCCCAAGAAAGGTTATTGCTGATAAAAATAGGTAGGTATGGTTACTCCTGGAAAGCTTATGTTGGGCACAGTGAGATCGGCTTTTTTATGGTCCAAATAGAGAATCATCTTCCCCAAAAATGGTATGACGATGGAATGCTCAACTGTCACCTTGTTTCTTCACCACATAAAAAAACAATCAAGTTCAACAGATGATTGTGAAAAGAGAGCTCCAAAAAAGATTGCATAAGGCTGATTCATAGAAAACAGTTATAATTTTAACTACAGTTCCGAATCATTGATATTGATAATTTTTTGTATCACCAAATGATTCAAATATTTCCACTCATCACATAATCCGACAAATCACAAGTCAGAGACAACTTATGTTATCTCGAAAATTCCACACCAGTGATTTTTATACAGTTAAATTCGGTTTTTATGATAAACTACCATAGCAACGTATGTATTTTAGTTGAAATTGTTGTTCCCACCAGCGTATGAAATGGCAAATTTTTTTATGACGTTTTAATGGCAGAATAATATTTCGAAGTCCTGAAATAGTGATTTTGTGCCACTTCAATTTTTTTTATCGCTTGGAGCGCACGAAAGGGAATCCCTATAATGTTCAAAGATCATCGTGCGTTCCTAGGGAGGATAGGGACAGGAGGTAGGTATTGGAATTTTTGTTGAACTTTTGGAGATTATATGTTGTTGGGAATACTTCCACAGGCAATGAATTCCAGACCCTAGACGTTCTATGGATGAAGGAGTCTTGATAAAGTGCTGTTCGACATCTTTCGAGGTTGGTTGGAAATCAACAATTAATAGGCTAAGAATCCATTGATGCCCTAACTGCATCTATTATATAGAATTTCATACCACTACCTGGGCCAGTGTAAGGCGTTATGGAAGGCTAAAATTCGAAATCTCTGTTACTGATACGCTTCAACAGGAAGATCAAATTACTAAGGTGGACGGACATACTGACCTTCATCAGATATTCAAGGAGGTTCGAAAAGGAGAATTAGGAGAAGGAATAGTAGATATTATGTGCAAATGACGTGTGCAGCAGGGGTCGGCAAAAAAGGCTCACTGGAGCCTACTTGTTTTGCGACCACCTTCCCTTTCTCTACTACTACCAGTATGTACTTACTACACTTGTAGTATCCCGAAGTTAATATAAAATCGAAGAATATAATATGTAACATTTTGAACTGGTATTTTCATGCAAATACAATTGGTAGAAATGAAGAATCTATTATTGGTGCCGAAACTGCGACCCAAACTAAATTTATTCATGAATCTGTATGCAAATCAAATGAACAAATAAGTTCTGGAATTATTCAATTTCCAAATACAATCTGGTGTGAAATTTCTTTACCGAATACGACACGAGGTCAAATTATTTCCGAGAAATTTTTTCGAGCTCATGGATATTTTGGTAATTATTTCGAAAACGAGTGGTATTACAAGTGACAAAACTAGCTGTCTTTCAATTCGGATTGGCCCATCAGCGTTAGTGTTTTCAACGATGTTAAACCATGGATAGCAAAGTCACTTTGTCATAAAATAATTATAGCTGTAGTTGTCAGAATGAATCGCTGATTCATAATTAATGCTTTTTATGCTTCGTGAACATGAAATACTCTAGGAAATTACCACTCTGTATTGCCGTACACCATTATCACTCGTGAACAAGGAAGCGACAGAATTATCTCGATTATTCAGAACATTACTGATTACATTACGGAATATTACTCATGATAATTTTTTTTCACAACTTACCCGGATTTGCACCATCTCTGAACACTTTCGGTTGGTTTTTATACTGCATGAAGTAATAAATATGGGCTAGCTCATGATGGGCAGTTATTAGATCCTTCATATTCACATGTGTACACATTTTTATCCTAGAAAAAAAAACGATAGAAAATAACACCCCAGTAGTTGGTTGTTATGCAAAATGGTGATTGAAATAGTTTGCCATTTATTGATGATCCCAATTGGGACTACTCAGAATAAAGATAGTAAGTGGACTATCGGGTTATCATCAGAAAGTTCCTGCCTAATATTTTGTGAATCTTCATGCTATTAACTATCAATCAACTGATTTATTCGGAATTGTGATAATGTAGTTCTGGTCTCACAACATGTTGACCTATTCTGTAGACTGTATAGGAAAGAATATGTTCATGTACTCAAATATACAGAGAAGTGCACAAAAAACAGTCAGGTTTGTAACTTCTGAATTATTCTAGATAGGATTTTGAAAACTGGTAGGTAGCAAGAACAACAAATTGCTCATTAATTCTAGTTTCACCGGAAACGACCCCGACTTTTGATGTTTGAATAGGACACCCTGTATTGTATTCATTCCATAATCAGTTAGGGATTATCATGACGAATTCAACGATACCGGGTTTGATAGGGTTTTTCCAAACTATTAGAAAGATATTTGCGTTGAAGTTTCCATATGCTCAATGGGTGTGACTTCGTAATATCAAAACTTATTTCTCTGTCACACTCATTGAGCATATGGAAACTTAGAACGCGAATATCTGCGTAACCGTTTGAAATGACCCTATCAAACTCGTTATCGATGAATTCCTTATGACAATCCCTAACCGATTATGGAATACAATACAGAGTGTCCCATTAAAAAATCAAAAGTTGGGATCTTGTTCCAAAAATAGTGAAGCTGCAAATTCTAAACTTGGACAAAAAAAGTTTACACATGAGGCGATTTCCACCAGATGATATCAAAAACAGCCCGAATATTTTGCAATTCAAAAATAAAGTGAAGAAATATATTTATATGCAAAGGAATGATCAAAGCTGAGAGACTATGAATTTCCTTTTTTTCTTCAATGTTTTCATTTTTCCCCTTCTTGTTCACTATAATATGACTGTAATTTTGAGATATCCTAATAATATGTTAGTTTTGTCCTCTATTTTTTATTTCAATTATACAACAGTCGATAATACTTCATGAATGATCTTATACCAGGAATCACTGTCTGATCATTCATGTCATTCCTACTAGAAAATTAATTATACTATATATATATTATTTGTATGAAATGTATCAATGAAGAAGGGAATGTAATGCAATAACTGAAATGAATAATGAATGAATGAATAAAAATGAACGAATAAATAAACCATAGTTTTTTGTGCACTGTATATTTACTAGTTTTCTTTCTTCCGTCAACTCCAGACATTCCAGCAATCACTTATACAAGAATAATCCGTGTTTTTCACTAATATTTCAGTACCTACCTAAAGTCGTTTCTATTGCAGAAATCCCAAGCAGACGGCTGACATAGCACGTTTCTGTCCAAGGGTTCCTCTAGAACAGATCCTTGCCAGAAATCCAGTGGCAAAACACTCATGTTGAGAGACACAAAGAAGTCCTCAGATAATCTGAATAGATCGATAGGTGTATAGCCCTGAAAACAAAGAAGAATATAGATATCAGTTCGAAAGTAATGCGAATAGCGAATCCCAGAGTGTTTCCAGACTCAATGTATATGTTTCCTTCTTACTCGCATGTGTTAAACAGAGGTGAATACACACTCAGTGAAGGAACACTCCATCAGTTCCTGCCAATTCAATACACTATAAAGCTTTTTTACAGGTTTATTACAAAAAGAATCAAGCAAAATGTAATAGAATAAAGGAAATATAAGTGTCATATTTTCAAGCGCAGCTTTTCCCATAATGCCACAAAATTTTATAATTCATTACCTACACATTTAATAGATTGTTCCATTTCAAACTTCAAAAAAAACTCAAAATTTCTCTCCTTGAAACCATGTTTCTTCAGTGACGCACACAGCATTTGTTTCTGGTAATTGAATCAGGGTTCTCTCTTTCATTGGATTGTTTATGTATAGGTGTGTGTATATGTGTATATATACGCATGTGTATATTATAAGTGTATATATTGTTGTTGATGAATATATGATTTAGCTTTGAGACAACATGTGTATATGTGATGGCAATAATTGAAAAGAAATTGTTTCAATGCTCATATTATACTGTACACATTATAGTAACTATTAAATTAGAGTAGGACTAGTTTTAACACAAGTTAGACTCTACTACTTTTCTAATTTTGTTTTCTACTCACTTTCTCATATGTACCTATATTATCTTTTTTTTATATTCACTTATTTTTAAGGCGAAGTTGAAAAACACTGTAAACTGACACCTCGCCTTTTCAGTCCTATATGAATAAAGCCGTTTATTATTATTATTATATATGCACAACAAACTATAATCTTGAAATTAGTGAATCTTCATGTTGTTTCAGAGCGAATTTGAAGTTTGAATCAAGTAAATATGTCTTGCATGAACTCTGGATCTTATTCAATCAAGCACAATCATGAATTGTTTATGAAGATTATATTGAATTGGCTCAAACAATCATTTTGTTCGATTCAAAATAACGAAATATTGATTCAATCAAATATTCAGTTAATTCAATGAATTATTTGGTTGATTCAAAGAAATATTTGGTTGATCCGGTGATTCGATGAAATATTTGGTTGTTTCGATGAAATATTTTGTTGATAATAATAATAATAATAATAATTATGATCCAATGAAATATTCCGTTGATTCAAGAGAAACTGTATTTCCATTCGACCCATCGTTTCGTTGAACCAAATTCAGTGTTGATTCGGAAATTTTTCTGAAATTTCACATCAACAGAATGAACTGAACTTGGAAACTAGTTGACATCTAGCATAGATCTCTATAGTCTGTACTTCTCTTCAGCTGATGCGAAACTATTTTGGCTTGCTAAGTTCGATTTATCCAGCTGATATTTCAAACACGAAGAATCATTCTCCACGTATATAATGGATTCGAGGCAGGCATAGACGAGGCGAAAAGATCGCCATCTAGAAGCGAAAATTCAACTTGATATAGAATGAACGAGATATTTCATTGATATTACATGCTTCATTGATCAAATCAAGCAAATTATCTGTTCGAAACGAGTTTATAGCTACATCGGAATGAGAAAACTTGTATGTTGTTTCAAAGATATATTCTTATCGAAATGATCATTATTTCATCAAATCAACAAAATGTTTATAGTTGAATCAACATCGACATTATTTTGAATCAACCTGAATTGTTTTTGACAACTATATATTTTGTTGATGGAATTAATATTATACTGTTGATTCAATCAAACATTCTTGATTCGAACAACCTGCTTCTATGGAATTATCATGTGATTGTTTGATTCAACAAAACATTGCTCAGTACAACAAAAATAATTCGAGCATAAATAATTTGTTGATGCAACAAACTTTTTCCCGTGTACATTATCATTCCCGGTTTGAAATATGTGTTCTTCTCGATTTTCTGGGTTCAAAAGAACAAGTTACCAATGGTGCTGGAACCAGTAAATACGGTACATTTTTGAGAACTGGAGATTGTCCATTGAATAAAAAAATGCCAAAAAGGGCCATCAACACACATTTCATCTTGGCCATGATGTTCTCATGCTGTATCCATATTGATTGATTGTCTTTATTACCCCAAGAAACATTATTGTTTATAATAGGGATATATACAACAAAACATACATATAAAACATAATAAATCGAAACAATAATAATTGCACAATTATTGTTTTTCTTGAAAAAAAAAATTATAATAAAATATGAAATGAAAATATTGAAATCCATTACAAGTAATCAAATTGTGAATGATGAGTACTACTAGTAGATATGGAATTAAAGTTTACTGAGCAGATATTCCTTCAATTTCATTTCAAATTTTTATGCTTCTTCTATATTTTTCAACTCATTAGGTGATGAAAATTCCACCGTATCGTAAAGGTATGGCACCATTGAACACATTTCATAGTACTCAAAAATTGAGACAACTTCGTACAGACATTGTACATGTACAGGTATTGTTTCTAACATTTGATATTCGACAATCAGCTTCTCACCTGTTTGATCATCTCCGGAGTAACGTCCAAGAAGTTCTGCCCTGGATAGGGCTGCGTGATATCGAAGACGTTGCTCCAAGACTGCGCCCACATATTGCCCAGCACATGGGCAGGCAAGGGTGCCTGTCTACTCACCCTCTCAGGGCCGTAATACTCCCTCAACCGCCTGCGCACGTAGGCATGCAGTAGCTCGTAAAGCGGCTTTATCTCCTCCCAGGCCTCTTCAAGGTCGACGGATAAAGCGGGAGACTCGAAGGGAAAGCTCCAGTATTCGGCAGTGTCGGTGAAATCTATGAAAAATCCAGATGAACTATTTATGGAGATGGAATATCGGATGGGGTCAAGAGTGGAGCCTTGAGGCACACTCGACGTAACCCTCATATAATATCTCGAGGCCACTTACTGTTCAGTTTGGCAGCGTGATTGGATATCTTGACCATCTGTTCGAAGGGATCTTTCATCTTTTGGCCCGAGTTTCGTCGCCATTCTGTCCATACGTGTTGCAATTCGTCCCAGTTGCGGCTTTTGGCCATGATCCTGCTGAGATCCGGCTGCAGACGAAGGCCACATTTAAAGGGATCGTTGAAAGCGCACACGGAAGCTGTGTTGTAGATGGACAGCATGTCGTTGATCAGTCTGTTGTACTATAAATCAAGAAAATAGGGTTGATCAGGAACTGAGTCTCACTTATTATGAACCATATATTGGTTATGAAGTTCTGATTACTAATACATATCAGGTTTGGTCAGTTTAAGTTCCATGTGACCCAGATGGGTCTATTGAGGCTCACCTCTAGAGGTCACAGTCCACTGTACAATTCACATATTCTCACAAAGTCTATCATTCCATACAAGGTGAAATTTCCCTACAATCCCATGTATTCCTATTTCTTCCCAGGAAACTGAGAACTCACGGCGAAGGCAGGTGATTGCTGTAAATTGAGATCTTGCAAAAATCACAGCCTAGGGAACCACTCAAGCCTGTATTATCAGAAGAAAGGAACCCAGTAGTCAGTATGCCTTATATAACAATGTCTGATACCAACATTTGAACCAAGTCAACTATATCTATGCTCGGTGTATCCATCAGCAACACTTTTTCATGAGATTGTCATGTCAGATCCATGGAGATAGCTGCTTCACAAAAACTCGGATTTTTATTCCGTGTGAAAACCTACTTTACACCTCAACAGCTCCTCATGATCTACAAAGCACAGATACAGCCAGTTTCAGAATACTGTTCTCACATAATATGTGGTTAAGCACCCAAACATACTCTGATTCTCTTAGATTCCACCCAGAATAGAGTCATTCGCCTAGTGGGTGATGCCAAACTCACTAACACTTCGACATCATTGGAACACCATAGAAAGGTCGGCAACCTTCCACTTTTTCATAGATACTTCTATATCAAAACTTGTATCTCTCTGCTGGAAGCTCTGGAATTCATTGCCTAAGGAAGTATTTCCAAGAACTCATAATCTCCAATAGTTCAAAAAAATTCCAACAGCTTCCTCCTCTCCTTATACATATATTATAGGGATTCCCTTTTGTGCGCACCAAGCAAAACAAAGGTTTTAGATCAGTGAAATCAAATATGTTAAACCTCAGTGTCTCCGAGCGAGAACGTGAACATCATTATGCATTTAGCAATTTAGCAACGTCAGTCTGTTGATTCAGACCAATCCTTCCTAGGTGGTATCTTAAATGACAGATTCTCGTGAGCAGTCCTGTCATAATTTGCATGTTCCTCTTGCTTTATTTCAGGATCTGCCTGGCTATATGTTACCCGAGTAATTTCCATAACTAAGAGACTGGTGTTCATCCTGCAGTTACCATTATAGACAACAACACAGCACCATCATACTCAGTTATAACAATCATTGTCTGTATCTCCTATGTTCAGAATGGAGGACTTGTTTTAGGTCTCTTTTTTCTCAGTGGCGACTCAGATGCTATCAAGAAGAAGAACGGGAATGATAGAGCTTTAGTTATGTGAATGTAAGTGACATAATCTTAATGGAGCCAAGTGAGACTGATACGCTCCTTGCATTATTCCTCTGAAGATTGAGGTTACACACAGAGGTCTGATTAGCAATCATCTCACTGCTATAAGTTCACCCTGTAACTTGTAACTACCATATGCAATGTTTTTCACCTTTAGCTCAAAATGCATACTAACTCATTCACCAAGGAAAAGATTTCTGCTGGAAGACTCCACAATCTCAGTTAGGTGGGATGAACCTTCTTGGTTTCATGCTCAATCGATCATCAGACCCAGAAGGTCCTTCAACTGGTACAAGAGATAATCCAGAAGGAGAAGATCGGTGATTTAAATCTCCATTCCATACGAGCTATGAATCACTATGAGATTTGGTATGAGACATTCAAGAGACAATAATCAATGAGGTGATAGAAACACACAACGAAAAGACCAATCCGATGAGTTACAAATTCTCTACAAAATTCACTACATGTCTAGCTGTTGATGTTGAAGACACATCGATGGAGATGTCATCTCTTTCTCAGCTACCATTTTGTTTAACACCAGTACTACTCGTAACTTCCTAGGTACTTTTTAATTGTGTCTGAAGATGGCCGTAGAGCCAAAAATATAGTCACACTGATATTTTTATATGGAAAATTGTGGTCGACCGACTTTGAGTTCGTTTTTTTCTCCTGTTGGGAGATGAATGTTGTTGAAAGCTACTCACCCTATCTAGTTCTTCTGGTGGTAATGCTGATGGTCCAATGACTGCGTAGTACCTCATTTGTCTATATGTCTGAGGATCAATATGTTTGCTGTCACCTACGTTGTTGAGCAACTCCCAAACTCCATGCTGGAATTCAGAATAATACTGCTGGGCATTTATCTGGAAATGAAAATGAGTCTCAGTGTGGACATTATACATATATGTGTCATCATGGGATATTTTCATTGTCATTATTTTTGTCATCCCTGGTTTATGGAGATTATAAAATTGTGAATGTGTGACGGTGATAATTTCATCAAATAGGTTATATACAATGGTAGGTTTCTGTTGGTATTTTTATTTATATCATTGAAGTTGATTCCAAAACGAATGATGGCATAATAATCATCAGGACATGATGCATATCCTGGGAAAATACAATTGATATCTCAATCATATATCCACCGTGAAGATCAGACAGTATACCTACAGGGTGGAGCAATAGTGTACTGGAATGTTAACTAGACCATCGTCGATTTAAATGAAAAAGCTTGTTAGTAGGCAAGAGGTTCTGAAAAAAAAAAATAAAAGACAAAATCAACCTAAAACAGTGCCACTGACATGGAAAAAATGAGCTATTTACATTCTGATACAGTAGCGCCAAGGTGTAGTTCTATAAACCGACAATATTATACCTCCAGCTTTTCAATTTAGATCGACAATAACTAGATAACAGGGTAAAGAAGGAGATACAGGGTTCATCAAAAAATTCCAGAACCGAGGACATTCTCCACATGCAATTGGATAGCCTCTGAGACTGACATTATACAGGCTAGAAAAATTCTCGCGTCCCATCCTCATATAGTCGAAAGATTTTAGAGGTATTCCTGAAGAACTCTCTGTTGTCTAGTTTACTTTGGTTTTTGAATCATGTACCTATTCACCTATTATGATATGGTGATACGAATCACATTCTGGCGCAATTCTGCCCCACCCTGTAGCCACCCAAAAGCACCTATTCATCTATCATTTATTGCGGTATTTGAGCAATTCTATGAATTGTCTATAATGAAATAAGTAGGTTTGCACAATTCAAGCTTGACTGCTCACAATTTGCAGCAGGTACTAGTCATTTGTGGTATGACTATAAATAGATCCCATTTTTTTACATCTATACTTAATTGAACTAAAAACTGAACATATTCACCAAATTTCATTAGAAAAAGCTGCGCAAGATCCAAATGACGAAATGTTATAGTTTTGTGAAGAAAATTTCACACCAAACATTTTCGATCAATTTAAAGCCTGTATTCCGTATCGTTACCATAGCAACTGAACAAATTTCTTGGAAATGTTTTCCTCCTCTTTGGGGGACGAAGCATGAAATTACACTGGAATTTTTTTGACGTTTATAGGTTGAATGACAGTTACATTCAACTTCATATTATTTCGAGTTCATTCTATGAGTCAATAAATAATAGTTATTTATGTATTAAGGGAATTATGAGGGCCTTAATTACCGATGGCAAAGTTTGCGTCCCGAGGGCCTCTGGCCCGAGGGACAGCAATTGCCTGAGGTTATTGAGGCTCAGTAATTCCCGTGATACATAGATAATTTTATTTCTGACTGATTTCATTCATCAGATACCTTTCCGATTGGAAGTTAGACATGTTTTTTCCGTATAGTTTCAATGTCATCAGAACGTCAGATGATGCTCTTGACTACCGCGAATAGGAGATTCCTTATTGCTACGTTACTGCGTGGTTGTTGCTATGCATTTCTTATTTAATTTTAGTTAGAGGGAATTATAGCATCTATAACATCCCAAGGGAGTTATGACCCTCATAATAGATATCGTAACTATGACGATATAAGCTTATAATGTCACTGTCAGAAATAAAAATCATTTCCTTACGTGCCCTCCAAGTGATAAAAAAAATCACTTCGCGGTGACGCCACTTTCATCTTGAATTCATTTCCTGTTCATTATCAGTCGGCGTTGCTGATACTTCTGCTGTTATAGGTATAGGTATATCTGTTTTTCATCTCTTGGTCCCCACGAAAGGGAATCTCATAATGCCGAGATGGATACAGCTTTTTATCCGAATTACAACTTCATATTGTCAATTTGACACTGTTTCCTCAAAGTTCTTTAGAATGAGATATATTCTCAGAAGAAATAGTCAAAATATCAATGATTATTTCATTCACACTCGGCTGGACCTATGAAATCTCATGATTAACGTCACACAATATGAGCGACTATTCTGTTCGCCAGCATAAGAGTGCTATGGTTGTCAAACTTTGACATACCTATCAGTCACTCAAAAACTGAAATGTCTCGTTTTGGGTCAACTTCCACTACGGAAATCCGTAATTATGTAAGCGAATCGATATCAGAAAATAACAAGGAGAGTAAAGAGTCTGTCTGGAACAATTCATGTTTTTTTTGCCAGCAGAAAAACTATGAATTTCATGCGACTACCCCATCTCTCGTGATTGCCCAAATCCTAAAAGATTGGGTGAGGAGAATGGTGAGGAATATTAGGAATACACAGTTGAAATTGATATGGAAAACTATATACAGGAAGGTTACTTCAATGAACATCAACGTAAGACGAATCCATTTGAATATATTGAATTCAAAGGTGCCAGGGTTTCGAAGCTCTAATCAAAGAATATCAATAGCGTTAATGTTCTTTCTTTGCTCTAACTGTAGATGAATTGATTTCGATTGCCGGTACGTAGATATGATGAGAATACCCCAGACGGCCTTCAGAAGAATTTTCAATCAAATAGTATCTGCAGAATTGTAACTTGAATAAAATGTTGAAACTCATATAAACCATCATTTTTACACTGTTCATGAAATAATCTTCCTGAATATCACTCGACCATGATAAATGGAGACTATTATTTTCTTGAATTCATCTCGAGTAACTTGTTTTTGGGGACAATTCAATTTGACTATATAAAAAAAAAGTTATTTAGAATGAGATATCTTCTCCTCAGAGGAAATAGTCAAAATAAATACCTGTTCATAACAGGTACTCTAAACATAGAACCATTTCCTCACGTAATATCTATTCTATCTGCTCATATGGGTTTATGAAATAGGTGGTCACATTATTTTTATTGTAATATGCTCGATGATGTGATGATAATTAGCTCATTCATAAGAAAGAGTCGTGATAAAAATAAATTAATTCTCTGACGTGATATTTTTTCCATAACCTTGCTATGGATATAATGATGATAATAATGCTATATCCTTTATATATAGGAGCCTTGACAAACTATAAACAAATTCTATGTCTTGTGATTAATGTTATTAATAGGTGTAATATGGAATGCATCTTTCATGCCCTCCCTTAATGGGAGGAATTGTTTGTTTCATTATCCATTGGCGTAGTGAACACAATAAGCTTTCCTCAATTTTTCAAACTCATACCTCTACTAGCTCCACTTACTTTTCGCCAATTATTGGTGAAAATGAAAATTAGGTAAAATTTCTGATCATTGCTATCATTTCAATAAGCTTATATTGAAGTATACTGTCGACTTCCTTGGTACCAAACACCAATACACAAAATACAACAAGTCTACCTTCATTATTCATGTATTTATTCCTGTATTGTATCATTCATAGGAGAGAAGGCTGTATTATACACCTATGTCGATATATGGTACAAAATTTAAAAACTGATGTACCAAATTATTGTGAAAAAAACACAAATTTCAGCTTCTAAATATAGAGCTCTGCCACTAGATGGCTACAACATGACTATAACTTCATGTTATAGCCTGCGTCTTCGAAATGGGTGATATACCCGAAGCGTTGAGTTGTCCCAGTTGTCAGCAGACCGAGAGCGGCTGATGAGACCTGGTGGGTCGAAACAGTACTGTCTCGCTTCTGCTGCCAATTGGTGCAACTCTGTTCATCCTGGATCTCTTAGTTATGAGATCTAGCAGTTGAATAGGTAGTGGAAAAATTCCACTCAAGTATGTCAGGTAGTGCCATCTGTCAGCAGAGTGGTTAACTTGTAGTACCACTCTGTAGCGTATAGACGTAGGGGCCTGTACGTGTGACTATAGATGGCAGCGCCATACAGTGTGTGTCGTGATTTCTGTATCCTACCTTAGAGCTTCGCCACTAGATGGCTACAACATGACAATAATTTCATGTTTTACCCTGCGTCTTCTAAATATATGTTTAAAACGATATCTCTATGAAGTAACCGAAAAATTCCAAACTGAAACTACCATTCTTTTTTGTCATCCAGAAACAAAAAGAAGAGATGACAGGGATTGAATGTCAACGAATAATTCTCAGATTCAGTTCGTTATAGTTTCAGTAATATTATAGAGATATGAAAATTGCGTAAATCATGGAGAATGGCTGAGAGAATAACTGGACTTCAGGTAACTGAGGAGGGTTTGAAATCCGAAATGAGTTCATTTCGAATAAAGTAATATAACCTGTTTGTGAGAGGTATGATTCTCATATCACTGATACGAATGATTTTTTTTTCAGTTTCAAGATCATCAAAATCTGAGTTCATACAAGTATACTCCTATAGGTACATTTCAATTTTCATTTCAATACTGAACATATTGGTAAGTTATATTTTTATATCATGATACATCATATTATTTATCCGATTTGAGGGAGAAGGTCAACTCTTTATATCAGGAGATTTTTATTTTTCATGTTCTCCTTTTGGATGTTCAACAGATATAATTCAATGTTTGACGTGGCAAATAGCCAGGAAAGTAGTAGTTTTCTGTTGTATATCCAGAATTATATCATGTGCATACATATTTTTATCTGAACGAGAATTCAAATTCTCAACTTCAGAAGATTTCGTTTCCAAATTCTTATCTTGTGTGTTCAATGGATATAATTCAAAGTTCGTCGTGGCATATAGCCAGGAAAGTACTTGTTCTCTGTTGAATAAGCCGAGAGAATGCAAATTCTCAGTGTATTTCTTTTTTTATATATCCATTTTTTCATGTTCATAATTTATCTGAGAATATTCTTTTTCGAAACTACCATAATCAATCCACCTGTATCTTAGCACTTTGAACAACGATTTTCATCAGTTCACGTGTAGTGACCGAATGAGGAAATTTAATAATTTTTATAGAATTCATATTTTCTGCCTTAGCGACCGGAACT